GTTGTCTTTTGTTATCTCACAGTGATAGCACCAGTGAGTGCCAGCATCTTCTCATTCTCACTCTCCTCTGAGCAGCTTCAACACAGGCCTGGTCCAACCCCTTGGTCTGAGGCTCCTGGCCACCCAAGGGACATACAAACTCAGATGGACCCATGCAATCTGGCACTGAGAGCCTGGGCTGGAGATTCACTATTTTTCCCCAAGCATTGAAAACCAGAATTGTGTTCCACAAGTTAAACTTTAAGTCTGCTAAGGTGGGGGAGAAAGCAACTGGTTGGTGCTTAGATGCTGTTGTCCCACTTTGGCACTGGCAATGCCCCTGCAGCAGCTCAGGATCCTGCCTGCCTTCCTGTAGAGCTGGCACTGTCAGGAGCCCCTCTCCCAGTGCCAGCCTATGCCAAAGTCATCACCGTGAGCACCAAGCCCTTGGGAAGCACCAAGAGCCTCCCTCTACAGAGTCAGCCTGAGAGTGATGCCCTGCAAATGCAGTGGCCAGCTGTGCTGTCCTGTGTTACCCCAAGAGGCTGGGTCTAGGATGTTAAATCACCCTGTTCAGTCCCTTGGTTGCTCCAGTCTTCCTTCTGCCTTTGGTTTCTGGTCATGGGATGGGAACATCTAGTTCTACACATGGTAACAGGGCAGGGAGGGTCATGCACATGTCTTGCTTCCTTCAGACCAGACACCCAGTATTTCACTCCCTCACTGCCTGAGGACATCACTTTGAGAAGTTTCTGGAGTAAATTGGAGGCACTTTGCTAAATCTTTCAAGTGAAAGATAGCAGGATTAAATTCCACTTTTGATATAATCCTTAACTCTCTCTTCAAGGGAAGTGCTGCTTTGCCTCCAGCTCTGGCTGGTGCCTCCATGCTGAATCACTCTGATCCCAAAGTAAATAAAGCTCTTAGAAAAAGGGCAAATGTTTTCTCAGCTGCTCTTCTTCCCTTTAAATGCAGGGCTGAGTGAAATTTTTATGTCTGCAGACAGAAATATATGCAGTCAACAAATGCTTCTTGCTAGGAAGCTGTCTCCACAAGATAACTGGGTTTTGGAAAGTACACTGAGAATCCATGGGATACTCCTGGATCACATGCTCTCCTTACAGCTTTCCTGTCTCTTTTCCTTAAGTGCTTTACATTTTATGAACTCCTAAATGAGCTGATTTAAGCCACTGCACATTAATCTTGGCATGCAGACAGTTCAGGCTCCTGGTGTCCTCAAGACTTTGTTTCTGCTCAGCCCTAGAACTGTGTCTGCTGCAGGAGACAGCAAATAGAAACAGCCCTCTGTCATGAGAAACAGCAGTGCTCCAAAGGGCCAGTGTCACACCCCCTGGTGTGGGGGCCAGGCTGCCTTTTCCCAGCTGCTGTCCCTCACCCATCCCTGGATGTCTGTGTGCTCCTTCTCCTCCAGCTCCAGTTCTGAAACCAGACCTGAAGCCTAGAACTGACAGGAAAACCTTTTTGCCAGCTTCTGGTGGCAGAACATCCCACTCAGCTGCCTCACACATTCTTGCTCCATCCAGTCTTCTTCCCTACAGAAACCCTCTCAAGGCTGTGAATCCGATGTCAACACAAGCTAACACAAGTTCTACTAACTTTTTACTTTTATTAAACTGCTGAAATTTAAGCAAAACTGCTGTTCAAGTTTTCCAATCTTCACCCTGATGTGCTGCAGGGTTTGGGAAAGGTGCCTCATAATTTTGCTCAAGCTAGTTCCAACCTCCAGTAGGTTTATTGCTTGTAATAATACACAGCCTGGGCTTGACTCTGCAAATTCATTGCTCCCCCTCAGGGACAAAACACTATCTTGAACACGTAAGTATTTTTAGTAGTGCTGTTCTCCTCCTCCACTTCAGCTGTAAAACCCAAGGGCACAGATATTCCAAGCATCTTTTCCCAGCTTCAAGTAATCTACCATTAGGCACAGATTACAGGCTCATGGCATGCACCAGCCACTGCTGTGTGTGCCCAAACCTTGAAGGCAGCAGCAGGAGAGGCTTTGAACACAATCCCTGGAGTTTGCTCCCTTTCAAAAGCCAGTTGTGCTCTCTCTTTTTCCACTCTGTAGAAACACCATGTGCCAGTCCTAACAAAAGGGAAAACACACCAGGCAATGGGGTGGGCACAATGCCATTCAGAGCAGATCCCAGCCCTGCTGCAGCCCCCAGATGGTTTGGACAGGGTTGCTTTGTCTGGGGGAGAAAACAACCTACTGGGTCAGGTGGCCCTGGGGATCAGACACCTTTACCCAGGTCCAATGCCAGCGAGCTGAGAGGGAAAGCTGACAGCATAAGGCAAGGGAGTTAGCTGGCAGAAACTTGCCAGGCTTAAAAAGGGCAGTCTGGCCACTTCTGGCTGAGGAACTGAGAGCAAAGTATGTTCTAGCAGCTTAGCGGTGATTGAATTGTTCTTTTGAAGTGACAAGGAGATCAAAATAAAAGACTATTTTGGTTTTTTTTTTTAAATCTCCTTCTTAGATTACCAGAAAATCCTGGCTCAGCTCTGGTGGGAAACAGGTACAAGCTGTACCCAGTCACCACTGCACAGCTCCCAACTCACACCTCCACAACAGGAGTAAAATGTAAACACCACCATGTTGAGAGGGCTTCAAGATCAACTTTCAGGTGGTTTTATGTTCATTGGACAGTGACACAGAGCTGGGTGAATGCAAGGACCAGTGCAGGATCTCCAGCTCCTGCCTAATGAGAGTTGGGTGAGACAATGTGAGGGCTGGTCCTACAAAGCAGCCCATCCTCAGTTCCCATCAGAGTAGTGGTGCTGAAGGTCCTTGGTGCTGCCCATAGTCCTCCAAAATCCAAACCAGTTGCCCTTGAGGTGCCTGAAAGGGACTCAAGAGCAAGCCCAGTGCGAGTCACACTCCAGCAGGGAATGGGGAATAAAAGTTCATCTTGCTTAAACACAGAGCTCAACAAAAGCAAGAGAGAAGGTCACAAGATAGGTGGAAATTTGAAACAACAGGGGATTGTATTTGACACCAGTAGGGAAGGACAAGCAAGTCTTGCTGTGGTGATGGAGAAGACTCCAATCCTGTCTGCTGGTCTATGGGCAAAGAGAGGACATTTCTCCTCAGTTAAAGCTCTGAAATAAATATGCTTGTAAGGAAGCTGGAAATTCCCTACACAACTCCTTATTTTCTTCCTTCTGTGAGAGGCAAAGATTTTTTTTCATCTGACCTTGCCTGGACATGGTCTGCATGTGATGTGATTGACCCAGGGCACTCCATTTCCCACAGACTCTGCTTGAACATGCAATGCCTTTCCAGGTCCTGGTGACAGTGTAAAGTTCAATTGAGGATTGCTCTGTTTAGCTGTGCTGGGGGCTCATAATCCCAGTGGGTCAAAATATTTAGAGTTAAAGAGGTTACAGGCTTTTCTGAGGGAGTATTTAAACTCCAGCTGTCAAATCTTTGCATAGAAGAAATCTGTAGACTCAGCCAGCAGTACATTAAATTGCTGTTTTCTTGTCATTAATCTAGTAGCATGCATTGTTTTCCCATTGCCATAAGAGAATAATTAATCTATGGCAAATTTATGCCTATAAAACTATAAATAGCAAGCCTGAAAAAAAATTAAAAAAAGACAGTGAAGAAATTCAAGGGGACAAATACTGATGAGAGCCTGATCAAGAAGGCTCATGACAAAGCTCTTGGAATGCCTTCAGGGTCTGATCTTTTCAGAAACCCATCTAAGGGACTTGCAATCTGCTTCATATTCAGTTTAACTGTGCACAAAAAAACTCCCACTTGCAGACTTTGCACATTAAAAGGAGAATTAGAAAAAAAAATAGAGCTTTTTCTCAGGGTCTATAAAATTAGTCTGGAAATGAGGAAGTTTGGTGTTGCAATTTCTTGGGAAACCTTAAATCTCACTCCCTATCACTATTGTTCTGTACTTTGGTCTATAATACAGATGCAAGTTTGATAAATTACGGGCTTCACAGACTGTTTTCTTTCCATTTGCAGGAGAAAAAGCAGTGCAGGAACAAAGGTGACATTGGCTTTGAGACTGAAATCACTTTCTATAGTTGCTTTGAAGAAGGTGAACCTGCTGTGGGTGTCTGATATGGGAGAGGCACAAGTCAGGCTGTGGCTGGGGCAAGGCCATGTCTAGGAAATGATAAGCATTTCTCAAAGGCTTATCACTGAAACTCCCAAGCCAAGTGGGCTTTTCTGCTTCCCTCCTTTGTGATAAAGATATTTCTGTTGACTGAATGTAGGGTCACTACAAAGAAACACAGAATGAGGTTGGTGTTGGAGGGGGAGGATGGTGGGATAATCCTTAGTGGAGCAAGTGAACAAAGGCAAAATGAGGCTCAGGTTCCTCCAGGCTCTGCTGTAACCACAGGCAAAACTCTCCTCTGCAAAACACTCCACAGCTGCAAAAATACTTAAGATGCCATTTTCCCACCTCCATCCAACCCTTTCTTCCTCCTCCTCCTCCAAAGCACCTCCCATGGCACCACCTGACCTTTTCTCACCTTTTCCCTGAACCTCCAGTTTTTCTGGTGGGACAGAAAGGCAGGAGACAGCTAAAGCTTGGCTGGATTCTGTGAGTGCCTAACAGGGTGAGTAGTAGTCTCTCTGTGCTGAGAGGAAGTTTGTCCCCTGCCACCATGACTGTTGACCTTCAGCAGAAGGGGATGAAACTGGGCAGTGAATTGAAAGGTCACTATGGACAGGGAGCAGCCCCCTCAAGACAGCTTGTAAGTCTCACTTAGAACATTCAGTGTGTGGAAAACAGCTTAAAAAAAATGAAGGCAGCTTTTACTACAAGCAGATTTCTCAAGCAGATAGCTGGGAACATTGGGGGAAAAGAATGAGGTGGATAGTTTGGGGGTTTTCAGTTTTTGATGCTAGAAGAGGAACAACAGACAGGCTTTTGGTATGGAGGAGCACAATGGTAATAACCTTGGTACTTGTTTTTCTCTTGGTTTTCTTTAACAACTAAATGAATTAGATCTACTCCTAGGACCTTCAGCAATCATTTAAAAGGAAAATGTTTATTAGGGTGATAAACAACCAACCCTGATGTCTCCCATCAGGTAGGACTGGTGAAAAGAGAAGAGGGAATAGAAAAATCACAGAGCCCCAGAATAGCTGAGATTGTAAAGGACCCCTGGAAGTACTCCAAAATGACTAAATATTACAGATAGGACTGAACATGACATAAACTCTTGTCTGTATCATGCTCAATACTGTCAGTTCCTAAATGCGCCGCGGTGTGTGCAATTCTTTTTGCTTTGTTGTTTATTTTGGTGATGAGGCTGGTGTTGATGTGGTTATTACAGAAGTGAGGAGGGTTGAAGGACCCTCCTTTAACACCAAGTGCAAGGTGAGCAGCACACTTCAGATCTGGTATTGATTTTGCAGAGACTACTAAATGCAAGAAGACAGACAGAAGCCAGAGAAGTCTGAAACCTATTCGAGGGGAGCTCCACCATCTCTTCATTATCAGCAGTTTCCAGGCTGAGCCTTTGTCTGCCTCTTGTAACCCCCTTCCCACCCACACACATTCCTTTCCAGCAATGCTGCTTTATTTGGCTTGTCATTATCTTCTTGTTAAATCCACTTAATTGGTGCATTTAACTCTTCATGTTCCTTAATAGATCCTCTGATATCACTTGTTTACGGAAAAAAACCCCAACAACCATAGCCTTAAGTATTAAATTTCAAAACAGCATCTAAATTGAGACAGGTCTTGCCAGTCCCAGTGTCAAACTCTGCTGCTCCAGTAACTCCCATTCACTCCATGAGATACAAGGCAAGCTGGACTTGATGACCTGTGAAACTGTCCAAGTCAAAGTCTGCACACAGCCAGGGTATTTCCAGAAATCCAAAGTCTTCTTTTCCACCAGCTCCTTTAGGACAACAAATCTGTACCCCCTCTGCTATGGATTATAAAGCTTTTAGTGCCTCTGTTGCAGACTGGAAGGGATCCTCTCCCTGCTGCTCAAAGGTGGTTAGTGTAGTTCCCCCTGTGTTCTGTACCTGCTCTAAATTTCCATAGCCAGATCTACCAAGAATCTAAGGAAGAAAATCCTAACAGTAAGTGATGCCAGCAAAACCCCTAATGTCAATATATCAGGAAATTTTAAAAAAATTTAAACATTCCTCTGACAATTTGGTTTTATCTGGGGAACTGATGCAAGCTTTACTCACATAAAAATGCCCCAACTTCATGGCACCATCAGCTGCATCTACATTGGCAACCTCATCACTATAACCCAGCCCAAAGTCTCCCCAGCCACTGTCCAAGGCAGCACACAGCTCTGATGTGGAATGGGAGGCTCTCTCCTTCCCAGTGACTGTTTCTGCTGAAAGACTGGGAATGGGAGAGGTTGCACTTGAAGGGCTTTAATCCACAAGAATTGATTTATTACTGAAAATGTACTCCTAGACCAAACTGGCACAGCACTCTTCACTGGGGGTGTAGCACTAGGGGTAAAGCTGGGCCCGGCCCCTACATGCCAAGGCATCAGCCAAAGTGCAAAAGGCTAGAGCAGAAAAAACAGGAATGTGCAAGGATCTAACTCCTACACATCCTCTGCTAAGGTTTCTGCTGGTCAGAGCACAGCACTAACTGTAAGTACAGACCTGGCCCACAGATAGTACCCAAAAGTAAAGGTTTTGCTTTATTCTCAGACCCCTTTGTAACTCCTGGAGGGAGAGTAAAAGCCCCTCTAAATGTTTGGGAGGGAAATCAGGGAAAAAATACAAAAAAAAACCCCTTAGAGTGCCATATGTTCTTAATCCTCGTTTTTTTGTTTTTTTTTTTTTTCTGTGCCTAGTGCCACACTTTAGGGAGCAGGGCACTGAGCAGGGAGTCTCCAGGAGGCTTGGCAGAGCAGAAGCTCCACAGCCTTTCCCTGATGATGTCAGGGAGGCCCTGCATCTGTTGGTAGAAACAGCATGTTTCTGACATGGCAACAACATGGGTTAAATTCCAGGCATGAACCAGGCAAGTTGTACTTTTAACATGTTAACATGCTCTACCAGGGGAAAAGCTGAAGTATTTTTAGCATGGTTGGAGTGTTTGTCTCTGCACTGTTCTGGCCTTTTTTGGAATTGTTAACTCTGGTCTGGAAACAAATACAATAACCTTTGCAGTAGTGAAATACCACTTGTTTTCCTTTATTGTTTGCCACAAAGAAGACTAGGAATTGTACTTGAAAGAGATTAAAGGAGAAACATACATCAGCTATTTTCAGCACAGCTCACTGCTTTTACCATGCCAGTCAGTTCACTTACTGCTTCTCTATTTCAGCCTTTCCTACTTACATGCTTAGCTCTGACAGAATCTCAGGGGCAAAACCAGTTTTTTTCATGATGAAATTCCATCTCAAGTTGTTGCTTGAAGGGATTGCCCCTTGCTCTCCTGTTTGACTGGGTAAGGGCAGTGAGAGGGGTCAACAAAACACACTTTGCCCTCTCATCCTGCCCCTCACAGCTACTCAGACCAATCTCCAAGACATGTCAGGGAGAAGCAACTGTTGACAGATTATTTGGTTTTATCTTAATAAAAAACCCACCATGCTCTGCTGGGGCAGAGCCCAGCAAGTGAGTTAGGGATAAAGGAGGAGATGAAGTTTAAGCACAAATGTAACAACAAGAATCAACACAAGGCAAGTCTGAGGACTGAAAGGGAAATCACATGGAGTGAAGGAGGGACTCTTCCCCTCTCCTACTTTCTAATCCCATTTCAAATAATATTCCCTTCCTCCTCCCCTCTGCCTGGTGCTAGCATAAGCATGCAACACAGCCGTAAGGAGCAGCCATCTGACAGTCCCACACTGCACACAGCTGCCATCAGCGTGCCCAGGGACCAGCTACATCTAGGCCACACATGCAAGTTACCCAGGGAAACAAGATTCTTGGAAGGATTAATGGTGAGAGAGGCTCGTGTGGCTGCAAATAGGAGACCATGGTTGATCATCTGCTCCCACTTGATGGGAGAGGAGCCTTTTTATTTTTTTGTCCCAGTTCTTCTCTTCCTCCTCTTCAGAGATTTTCATTACCAGTCTGGAATTACTTCTCCAGTTGCTTCTGGTTGCTTCTGGAGTGGGAGAGAAGATGGGGCAAGGGAGTTGTGCTTGACAACTCAGACTCATCTCTCAGGCAGCAGGACGAAGAAGATGGCCTTGAGGAAGTGACCAAAACTGCAAACAGCAGCCACGAGCCAGTGGGAGCGAAGGCTGGGATCAGTATTCACCACACATTTTGTGATGTCTGCCTAATGAGGAGGGAAGAGAGATCGTCAGAGAGAGATGCCCATGTCAGCCACTTCTGCAGGATGTCCCAGCCCCACAAACATCACCGCTGCTGCAGCACCAGATGTTGGCTCTGACACTTCCACACTCTGAAAGCTATTAAATCAGGCTCCAGAGCCCTGAAGAATACACTTTCTTAATTTCCCACCAATGAGGAAAAGTGTCCCCTCTTCATCCACCCCTGGGAAAAGAAACGCTACAGGAAGATTATCCAGCACTTTCCATTTTGGATAGCTAAATACAACTTTCTTTCCCTGTTTAAAAGGTCTAGGAAGCCTTAGCAGTTATCAGCATTCCCATCCTTCTCTGTAAAGCCAGATGCTTCCCAGAGGTTGTCCTGTTTAATATCAGCTCAAGTTGCTTGTACGTTTTCTCTTGACTTAATGCTTTCTTTGGAAGACATTCAAGCAAGCCATCCCCCAATTTAAATCTAAAGCAATGCATGCTTGTAGCTTTGTTTGTGGAAATATATATGCCAGCAGAGATGCCTCCCAGATGTGTGGGCCAGATTTAAATATCGCTTGGGCAGCTGGTTTCAAATATCAACAAGAGAAGCTGGCCTGTGATGATTAAAAAAAATCAAAAACCAAAAAAACCACCCTGTCAAATTGATAGAAATAGGCTCTCTCTCAGCTGGCATGGGAAGGAGAAAATGGAAAATATTGAGAAGGTGAAATGAACAGGACAGAGATAGAGAGAAAAATGAATTTTCTGGTGCAGGAATCAACATTAAAAGTTTTGCTATAACTGAGTTTTGCTTAAACTCAAGCCCAGCACAAGATGTGGACTGTGGTTGTATAACAGAGGGTGCACTGCTGGCACATCAACCCCATGTGGTTTTTCAGAATCAGCTTTTGGGTGGAAATGGGAACAATAATCACATCACAAGGAAGGGTTCACAGTCCCCAAAGTCTTTTTTTTACAAGCTTAGCTCAGCAATCCTCCAAATTTGCCTTCTGACATAAGTCTCTCATTGACCAAGCACAGACAAGTGAGACTCTCAACCCTGAGGTGTTCCTCCCCAAAACAGAACATAAGAGATGATGAATGCTCCAATAATCTCTATTCCTTCTGCTTGTGCTCAAGACATGCATGAGCCTTGCCTGACCAATCTTGGTCATCATTAGTAGAAAAAGGGGGCTGAAGGGACAAATCCCAGAATCTGGTTAGTGAGAACAGCCACACAAACCAACCCTATCATCACCTACAGACCAAAGCTCTGCTGCCAGCAGCCTCCCATGCGTTCCAGCAGTTCCTTGTTTACCATGTCTAGAAGGCTGGCATGGTGCACTTCACCACATTGCTGATCTCCTGGGAGCATCAGGAGAAGCAAAGCCCACGAATAACTGACAAGATGAGACTGCAGAAGGAAGGAATAGAGAGCATGCAATGATGGGAAGAAACAGGATAGCAGGAGAGAGTAGACTCAGCACCAAGGAGTGGAAATAGTGCTGCCTATAGCTAAAAAACACAAGCAAACAGCAAGCAGAGCCAAGACAGTTACCAGAAGGTGCTGCAAGGTGGTCCCAGTGGCTACAGGTACTTGATCTGTATTGTGGAGGAAAGCAAGGTGGGTCTCCTTACACTGGAATACTTCCAGTGATGCTTAGCACACTCACCCTATTTGCATTTGAAAACAGTCTGAACTGATTCAACCTGTCAGATTCTAGCAACCTGCATGGGGTCATGTTTAAAACACAGTTGTGTCAAACTGTCCCTTTAGTTGAGAGGAGTCATGGCATGCAGTTACCTGTCTGAACACACATGTTAGGGTACCTTATCCTTGAGAAATATAAGCTCTAATAGGCTTTAGTGCCTCATGTGAGCCAGAACAAGGCCCATACACACTGGGTTGATTACAGCTGTAGAGGGTTAACTGCCAGGTGAGGAAAGGTGAACTCCTTAAAGCCCTGCTATGTTCTCCCAAAGGCTACGACCTCACTGCTCTAACCAAGAGGAGCTGCACTCAGAAGTACTTAGAAATTTGTATGGGGCTTGCTTAGATAAGCAAAATTGCTCACCTGTTTAATAATTGTCTTAGCTGTTGTTATCCAAATCAAGCTTATCTGATAAGGCAGTGGAATTGAAAACTTCAAAGCTGCTTAAGGCTTTTTGCCTTGTCAGGCACTGATAAACTGTTGCAATGGCAGTTTGATGTTCGATGTTAATTATTCAAACAAATTCAAGTCACATACACTGCTTTGTAGCAAAAGCTGCTCAAAAAAAAATTTAAATCTTTTTATTCTACTGTAAAGCCACTACTGAGGCTGCAAACTCTTGCCAGAAAGAAATTATGTCTCCAAGGTTCTTTCTTGCTCTTCCTGTGAGGTTTGTGTTGGGTTGCTGAATGGAGAATTTCAAATGCCTTTCCATAGCCTCCATGGTGTCTTTCCTGGACCAGCTCAGGGCATGGGGGTTACTCTTGGCAGCCTCAGCCTAGGCTGATGCATAAGAGATGAGGGCCATGTGAACAAGGATGGCATGCCAGGGCAAACCAACACAAGCTAGGCCTGGCAGTGGGTGAGAGGGTTCCACCAAAGAGCTGTTTGGTCTGGCCTGTGAGTGAACAAGGCTGGGAAATTCCTTGCTGAAGTGCTTAGATCAAGAGGAAGAACATTCAGGGAGGCACAGCACAAGAAGGGATTAGCAGCCTTTTCCCAGACTTTCCTTTGTTTCTAGAGGGAAAGCATTTCCTTTTCACAGCCCAGAGCTGCTAATAAGGGTGTTGGAAACTGGCTGTATCAGAACCCAGCAGCCTTCAGTCCTGTGCTTGATTGGGGGCAGTGAAGTTGGTTTCCCTTCCTTAGGGCCAGATCCCAAAAGCAATCAGCATGGATTTAGCCAGCTCCAGTAGGAATGTCCTGCCCATCTAAAAAGGGATGACTAGCAGAAGGAGTCAGTGGTGGACTTAGCTCCTCATGGAACCAGTGCTGGTCTGAAGATGGGTTTTGCAGCTTGTTTGCTATGCAAAAAATTGTCCAAAAATATCCTTTTGGAATTAGCCAAACACTCTGTTTGGAACTCTAATGAAGCAATACAAAAATTAAAACAAGATGCTAAGTTATCAGAGCATGCAAGTTTTACCAAAACAAAGAAAAAAATAGTTGGAAACTAGAAAGAGATACATTCCTACACAACATTTCTGTTTTAATGAAACTAGATCTTAGAAGATGTTTAAGAGAATATATTTCAAGCAGCTCTACAGGTATGCAGTTAAAGCAAGCCTCAAATGATACTGAGGCAGGGACTGGCATTCACAGGCAGCAACAGTGTTACTTAATCCCAGGATATCCTCTTCACTTGCCTTGGCACAATTAATTTTTGGAATGCAAAATGAAACAGATCAGGGCATTCAAATAAAAGGTTCCTTTTAGCCCAACCAAACAGTTCCCTGAGTCAGCTGGCCTCAAGGTGACCCAGTTTTAGAGAGGGCAGGGATGATTTAAGGTAGGATTGGTACTTATTAAGTGCAAGGGATCCAAAATCAGAGCAGTGATACTTTCCTGGTTCTTCACATTCCTGAAGAAATCAGGGAACTGAACCAGCTACTGACATGGTTGGGAAGTCTCAGCACAAAGGAGCAATATTCAGTTTGGAAAAAGACACCTCCCTCTCTCCAGATCTGTATGGGTGAGGAGCCTGACTATTTCCTAATGGCTTAGGAATAAATTTCACCTCTTGGAAAAGGGAATTTGCTCCTGTGGCTCAGTCTGGAAAGAGTGCCTGCCTTGGGAATAAGATGTCCTATGAACTGAGTGGTGCCATAGGGCAATATTTTGCCCAAGTAGCACCTGCCCAGCAGCACATTAGAGGATCCAAGGACTGCCTGTGTTCCTGCTAGACAGGCACATGGAACCTGGTACATACACACATCACCCATCTGCCAGCCACTAACACAGCCAGCCAGTCTCTCCAGTCAGCTGGGGAAGACACTGGAAAGCTGTCTAGCTATGCCACAGCACCAAAATAAAGTTCTCCTTATGAACAATCCTCCACAGGAACCAATGCTCACACTGAAAATCCAGTGCTTAGAGGTGAAATGAGAATTAAGCTGGCAGGCCTTATTTTTTGCCTGTTTCTAGAAAACAGCTGGCCAAGAGTATCACAGAATCAAAGAATGGTTTGGGTTGGAAAAGACCTTAAAGATCATCCAGTCCCACCCCTTACCATGTGCAGGGACACTGTCCTCTAAATTCAGCCTGCTCCAAGCCCCATCCGACTTGGCCTGGAACACTTCCAGAGATGGGGCAACCACAGCTTTTCTGGGAAATCTATGGCAGGATCCTCACAGGAATGACCTCTATAGTGTCCCACTGTGACTGGCTGTTAGCTCTGGAGAAGATCAGGAACACAACAGGTGCTGGTGGCTCAGGATTGAATTATTATGTCTCAGCTATGCAGGAAGCTGAGGACAAGAATAACTGATGTTTTTGAGGATAGGACCACGAGGCAGTAACAGAGTTATATAAGTCTAGCACAGGTGTAAGTGGAATTGAGGTGGCCACAGCGTTGTGAAAGAGAATCTCCCACAGCCTTTTTCTGCATAAAGCTGCAGAGAGCGCACTCTCATTAACTGGGCTCTTTTCTAGTCTGGACATGCAGAAACAAATTCGGTGAGACAGCATTTCTTACCCAGCCTCCTCTCCTTTTCAGCCATGTCACCAAGGTCTTGCGGACAAACTCTCCCAGGCAGTCAACGATGGTGTGAACCATGGCTGGCTGCGCGTGCCGCACGCAGTCCACCGCCAGCCCAGCTGCCACGGCGTAGAGAGACACCACCTTGCCCCACGTTATGCCTGTGAAAAGAAAAAAGGCCATTCATATTTACACACACACACACACACACACACTCAGTTCAGTCTTGAATAATCAAAGGAAATGACTCTGCTTCATTACATGTGCCCATGCTGCCTGCGCGCAGCCACGGTTCTGTATGCTCTCCTCATGGGGGAAAAGAACTAGTAGGGGACCAGAATGAGGGAAAACTCTCTACACAGAGAAGCAGAATGAATTAATCTGGCCTTGGTATGGTTTGATTGCCTCCCAGCACTGGCTGAACAGCTTTGGGAGAAAAGCAGCCCAAAGACACCATCGAGATAGGGAAGATGTGCACCACAATGTTTTGTATTGCCACTAGCTCTCAGCCATGCAGATGCTGCATAGGAGGTGATAGAATTCAAATAGTTTGAACAACCTGGGGCTTTTGTCTTCAACATAAAGCTTAAACACCCTTGGACAAAGCATTTGTTTTTTTTCTAATCACTGTTCAAATGTGACACTCAAAGCATACAAGATAAACATCTTCAGTTCTATAATGACACAAAAGCAGCAAAGGGAGGTAAAGTTACAGGGCCAAGATGGTTCACAGAATCATAGTTGGAAGAGAGAAGTCATAGAATCCTGAGCTGGATAGACTCACAAGGATCATTGAGACCAGCTCCTAGCCCTGCACAGGCCCCTAACAATCCCACCCTGTGTCTGAGAGTGTTGTCCAAATGTTTCTGGAGCTCTGGCAGCCCTGGGGCCATGACATTCCCTGGCGTGCCTGTTCAGTGCCCCAGCACCCTCTGGGGAAGAACATTTCCCTAATATCCAATCTAACTGCCACGACAGCCTTGTGCCATTCCCTTGGGTCATGCTGCTGCTCACCAGAGAACAGAGTGCCTACCCCTCCACTTGTACTCATAAGGGCTGGTGTCCTCTTTATGTAAGGACTAGACCTCAGTCTCCACCTGAAAACAAGGTAGCTTCAAGAATTTGGCCACTGCCTACTTAACACTGCCTGTGCTACCCCATTGAAGACAGTGCAGGGGTGGAGAGTCAGTCAGTTATCTAATCTCCCAGAAGACAGCCTTCCTGCCAGGCTGACCTGCCTGCAGCAAGCACTCCCCAGAATTTGTCCCAGCAGTAGTCATCTTCCTGTTGGTGTTAGTGACAAGCACAGGAACTCAGGTCTCGGTACCAGCCAACCTCCCAGGGGTCTTCTGCACCTTAACCAACACCACTGGGCATAAATCCTTCATGCTCAAACACTGCAGTCATAAATCCTTCATGCTCAAACACTGCAGTCAGCTGCCCCTCATCAGGCTTTTCTCAGGACCAGTGACCTGGAAACACAACCCTTTCGCTCCCATGCAGAACTACCTCTGCACAATGGCATATCCCCCCCATTCTTTATTATCTCTAATACCCATATTTATCAAGCATATTGTGAAGTATTTTACAGTGTTGGGTCTCCATGGAATCTGTCCAAAGGCTCTCCCGAACATAGTCGGAAGCCTGGTGAAGTTCTAACATTTAAAAACCACACAGAATTGTTCTCACAGGGTTACTGCAAGAATGAAAACAGGTGAGAGGATGAAAAGATGCGTGCAATACTAGATCTATGGATCCAGAGGGGTTAAACACACCATTAGAAAACTGGATGTGCTCAGCAAGAGAAAATACCATTTAAATGGGGTAAAGTCTCCCTCTTTCCTTCATTGCACTCTCAGATCCCCAGGTAGCCTGTGTCAGCTCTGGGATGGAGCTCCAGCCTCCTCACAGCAGTTCTCATTGCAGCAGAATGCACTATATTTCTTTAGAAAACATGCAGGTTTCAGAGCATTTCCGTAATTCTTACACTTGGTGCTTCAAAAGGGACATTCACACTAACACTTTTAGGAATTGCTTGTTTTTCTTTTCCTTAAATAGAAAAAAAGAACTAAACTTTAGAGGAACTATTCAAAGGTTAGCCACAGGAATACCTTGTTACACTGAAGAAAATCCATTCAGTGTTAAAAAAAAAAGAACATTTTTCATTACTAACGTAAGATAAAATCTGCAGATGGACCTTTTGTGAGGCTCTGCAGCAACAGTAACAGCATTAGCTGAAATCCTCTGTGATTCTCTGTCCTTCCCCAGAACTATCTGTAAGATCAGAGGAAGTTATTAATGTAGCTAAATGACTGTTCTTCTTCTTTAGGTTTTGTTTGCTGAGCAGACCCTGCGATGTCCCTGACACCAGCGCTGTCACTCAGGAAGTTCACTGCCTGTTTGGCATTCACACTATTTATCTGCCTTTCTCACATTATGTGTCACCATGACAGCCAGCAGAGTAAGCCAGGAAGAGGCTGTGATAAACCACAGAAAACTAGACAGAGGGGTTATCCCTGCAAGGAAGAGGCTGTCCAAGTGCAGGTCAATACAGTTCTACCTAATGACAGAGCCTTTAAGGGGTTACACTCCTTGCTGATTATATGTTCAGGACCAGAGCCTCAGCTGGTTTATATTCAGCTTTAGTATAAGTCAGTTTTACAGTTCTCCATCCCTGCAGAAATGTGGTTCCTTGCATCTTGTGTTACATAACAAAAGTTACCCAAAATTCCAGGGAAGAGTTTACTGGCTTATTTCCAAGCTTTTGCTGACAGCACTCTAAATATCTGAAGCAAGTCCATTAGCTCTGAGATATTTACATGGCAGTAACAAAGACTGACAGGACCAAAGTCACTCTGGTACAAAAAGACAGCTCCAGTCTTGGCTAACTTTGGTTTGAACCTGAGTTTTGCTTTTCAACAGAAGAAAAGTGCATCCACAACCTGTGAAAGATAGAGGCTCACGAGACCCATGACTCCCCCAGCACACAGGAAAGCAGTTTGCTCTAAGACATGTCGGTCCAGAGAGGATGGAGAAGCAGCCTTTCAGCTCCAGCTTCCCTGCCAAGATTCCATAGTTTTCCATAGTAGTACCTGCTGCAGGACTTGCACGAGGTGAGTTCTTCCCTGGCACATGGAGAGAACCCCTCTCCCTTTCACAGCAGTAAGAGAGCGAGTTCTTGGTAAACTCTTACAATGGTGATGGATGTGGAGGGCTCAGGGGTCACATCCTCTCTCCAGAGCATGCCCCTAAGGTCAAACCAATCCTTCAATCTGTCTTTCCTGTTACAAGGAGAGTCAGTCCATGGGGGCAGGAGAGGAGGAAGTCCCTTCCTGATTTCCACTGATCTGAAGTCCTCTTGCCACTGCTGGAGGGAGAAGATGGAGACAGCAGGCTGGGCTTCTCCCTCACAACAGCAGGGTGCAGTTTATGCTCTTCTTCTCGCTAGATATTGCAGGAAGCAAGGGAAGAGCAGGCACCTCCAACTCCTGAGCCATGCTTGTGGCTGGGCCCCCTGCCCAGGAGGGCTCCAGCAACCATCCAGCCACAGGCAGGAGAGGACAGGGGAACATACCCCAGCAGCCCTCCTCTGCACTTTCCCAGGACACCAGCTCCATTATCTTTTCCCTCTCAAGGACTCCCTTGATAGGGGAGCACAATTACTGAGAGGGCAGTACCTCTGTCCCCCAGGCTATCCAGGCCAGCTTCAAAGTGACACTAGTGTGATACAACTCAGCATGAGCTGGAATTGAATCTGGCCAGTGAACATGAGAAGCAAAAACACATTGCCTTGCTCCAAATTCCTCAAAAGGCCTGGCTGTCATCCACACTGGGTAAAACAGGCACTCATCACCAAGCAAGACAATCCATTCACAGCTTCCCACTGCGTGGATTAACATGCACAGGAGCTAACAACAACAGGGAAGGGAAAGCTGGTCCAAAAAGGAATGGTCAAAAGAGAGAAACCTCTGCTCACAGACATGGAACAAAAGGATATGGAAAAAGTGAAGGGCTGCTTAGAAAACATTATAAAATATAAGAAATACAAGTTACACTCTCTAGGCCAGCCATGGAGCTAAAGGTATGTAAACACTGCTGAGCTCAGGGTAAAATGAATTATCAGGAGAGGAATGCTCTTGAAAGTGTTCCTGCTCATATGAGCTTGTCTGCCCCAGGGGAGTGATGAAGAAGCCATGAGACATGACTGTGCAGTCTCAGGGTTATTCAAATAAACCTACCTGAGGTTATTCAAATAAACTTCCTTCTGCTCCACTCAGCATCAAAGTCCCACTCACAAATCAGACCCTAAAGAAACACAATCCACTGCTACACTTCAACAGCTGGGAGAACGCAGCCAGACACAACAGGCTTTGGTAGAGAGAAAAGCTGAGAGCAGTGTGCACAAGGCAGGAAGCTCAAGTCATAAAGCCTAAGTTATGAGAGAGCAGTAGGATGCATTTCTAACAGCATTTCAGAGAAACCCAGAATGGTCTGGGTTGGAAGGGAAGTGAAAGTTCATCTTATTCCAATCCCCTGTAACGGGCAGTGTTACACCCCAGTCACTTAATTCCAGGGTTAAAACCAAGGCTCTTTTGCTCTGGATAGATGCAAAGGAGAAAATCCCAGCCAGATATTCTCAAGAGGTAAAAAACACATGAAAGTTTGCTGGCAAACTACAGAAAATTAAGGAACATTAGCAAAAGAATAAATGCAACATAACATCACTTACCATTGCATAGACTTACCACACTGAACATAGAAAACCTTTAAACCCATTCAATGTCACGTTCCATGAGAAAAGAGAAGAAGAAAGGGAGAAAACCAGAAAAACAGGAAAGATATAGAAAAACAGACATATAGCTACCAACTTCTGGGTTCCAGTGATGTAAAACTCCAAAAAATGAAGGTAAGGTTAAAGGACAATGTACTTGCCTTGTGTTCAAACTTCTGAAAACTTTGGCCCATCCTGGGCCTTCCTCACAGGTGGGATTTTCAGACACTCAGGTACTGGGTCAAACAATCCTAGGGGCCCTGACCCTTCAGTGTGCCATGGCTGGCAGACACTGCAGGGTTTGGGGGTACAGGGGCCAGGGTACCATCTCACCAGAGCAAGGTCTGACCCACCCCCCTACCACATATTCCAAACATCTTAAGATGTCTCAAAACAGATTACTTTTTCCTGTCTCTGACAGGCAGGGACACCTTCCACTAGCCCAGGTTGCTCCAAGCCCCATCCAACTTGGGAACACTTCCAGGGATCTGGGGGCAGCCTGTGCCAGGGCCTCACCTTCCTGGGAAAAAATTTCTTCCTAATATCTAATCTATACCTATTCCCTGTTAGCATGAAGCCATTCCCCCTCATCCTGTCACTCCAGGCCCTTGTAAATAGTCTCTCTCCAGCTTCCTTGTTGGCTCCTTCAGGGACTTGAAGGCCACAGTTAGGTCACCAGGAGCTTCTCTTCTCCGGGCTGACCAATCCCAACTCTCACAGCCTTTCCTTTCAGCAAAGCTGCTCCATCACTTCTCTGATCATCTTGGTGCCTCCTCTGGACTCACTCCAATACCTTCATGTCCTTCCTGTGCTGAGACCCTCGGGCTGGAGACAGGTCTGAGTGGGGCAGAGGGGCAGAATCTCTCCCTCCCCTGCTGCCCATGCTGGGGGATCAGCCCAGTACATGGGTGGTTTCTGGGTCCCAGTTCCCAGGGCTGGGGCATGTCCCTCTCTCACCACAGCATCCCCAGGTCCTTCTCCCATTGTTGCTCTTGATGTGTTCATCCCCAGCCTGGACTGACCCTGGAGGTTGCCCTGATGGAGATGCAGCATTAGTACTTGGCCTTGCATAACCTCATGAGATTCTCATGGGTCACTTCTCAAGCCTGTCCAGGACCCTCTGGATGTCACCCCATCCTTCAAGTGTGTCAACAGCACCAATCAGGTTGGTGTCATCTACCTCCATTTGCTCCTGCAGGGAAAGTGCTTTCTCCTCAGAAAGCATTAACCCTACACTCCTGTTACACAGGGCTCACTTCAGCCCAGGCACTCTTGATTAAAAGCCAAACCCAGTAAGAACCAGGCTGGAAGCTTTTAAAAACCCTCATGCCTAACAGCTTTTACCAATAGGACAGAACTGCTTCCTTTAGGAAAGGAAAATGCCTCTCCCTTTTCTACTTCTGTTTTTCCACCAACTGACCTCTTCCTTCTGGCATTTGTTTTAAAATCTAAGGTAAATATCAGCTCAGCCAGGCCCCAAACCAAAGCTTGCTCAAGTCAGGGGAAAGTCTTCTGCTACCCACAGAGCAGCTTTGGACCACACATGAGAAGTAGTGGTAACATCACAGAGATGATGCTGTTGCAGATCCTTTACCATCAAAAGCAGATCAGGGCTCTGCAGTGCTTGTCTCCACACAGATGGGCTCTCCTCACTCTGGATAACTAATGAGTTGTTTGGAAACAGGGGAACAAAATACACCTTGAGAATAAAGTCTCTTCTCCAAGATGACAAGCCATGGGACAAGAGGAAATGGCCCCAAATCACATCAGGGGATGTTTAGATTGGGTATTAGTAAAAATTTCTTCACTGAAAGAAGAGACATTGAAACAGGCTCCTCAGGGCAGTTTTGGGCTTAATCAGGACTTGTAGACAGAGTGGACAGGAAGCGAGCACAGACAGAGCAACAGTGTGAAGACTCAAAACCAGACCAGAACGCAGAAGACAGACATGTAAAAGATTAAGGAGAAAACCTCTCCAGTTTCAAAGTGTCAAAATCCCCTGCTTCCTTGCTGGAAAGGCATTGTAAGTGACTAGTGGGGCTCCCCAAGCTGTCTACACACTGTAGTAGCTGTTTTCTTAATAAATTTGGTAATTGGCATGAAAACTCAGATTGAACTTGAGTGTCTGGTTTCCTTTGCTCAATAAGAGTCTCTTTCCTCTGAACTATGAAAAAAAAAAAAAAAGGAATGAATGTCTGGCTGCCATAGCCAACTCCAATTTGCTGGATTTATTGTTAAATGCTGAGTTTTGAGACTGCAGTGAGATCCAGGAATGTTAAAAACCAGCAAACTCCTATCCCTCTGCCACTCAGCAACCTTCTACCTAGGAGAAATTACAATAACAAGTTGATAAAAGCAATTAAATACACAACTCCCAGGACAGATGAGAAAGAATTAAGAACAGAGAATGGAGAGCTCTGGGAAGGTTTGAATCAGCCTCTGTGCAACCAGCACACTACCAGCCATTTCTGCAGCAGGGTGGCTCTGGAGGAGTGGCAGCACTGTCAACAGAGTCCAAAGTCTCCAGCATTGTCAGCCTCAGTGGGCTGAGTCCAGATTTTATTCCTAATACCCTGAAAACCCAGGTTTAGAACTATGGCATATGATTTCTACTTTAATTTTAAACTACACACACAATTGGCTCCTGAGCTGAGAAGTTGAAGAACAACAAAAAATGCAGCTCTCCATGAATTTGTCAATATACACTGAGAGCAGAAATCCCAGGAGGGAGCAGGCTTTCTCCCCAGCATCATGGTTATGCAGCATCACAGCACACACAGTCTGCTCCACCTGCAGCATTCCTGGCTTAGCTCTGTGTGTCACTTCAGCTCTGGAGGTGGGCCAATCCCAATGCAGTCACCTGTAGTCATCTAAGATCCCCTACTCACCTGCAATGCGAATTGCACCTGAGTCTCCCAACCTGACCAATATTTTTCTGTCACCAGTACAGCTCAGCACTAAGTGACAAGACAGGGCACTTCCCTTTCTACACAGCCACACTGAGACATTCCTGCCATACTTTCCCAGCTCTTGCTTTCTGAGCTCACAGGCCCTCTGAAGCCAGCCCAGTGCAAAGGCAAGCTGTGACCCAGCATGCTCTGAAAGGCTGTTGAGGGCTGCTGTACCAGCCACACAGCCCAGTCCCATCCATTTCCAATGACACAGCATCAATTTCCCTAGCCCAGGGAATAAAATCTGCCCTGCTCGAACTGCCAGAAGCCCTGCTTGGGCAGTCCCTCTCAGAGATCTATTTTGCCATCTGTTATGATTCTAGGGAGGATCTGTGCTCTCCACCACAGCTCTTCAGACCTTCTGCATGTCAGGGCTTCTCCAGAGTGTCAGTGGTTCCAGATACAGAAGCACAGTTGATTGTGAGGATGAAAAGGTTTTGAATGAGGTAGCCTATTTGAAAGTACAACTGAAACCTGGACTTCCATCCTGTAGCAACTATTGCCAAAGTGACAAGAGTCCCTGTATCCTGTGACACTTCTCATCCTATTGTCACTATTTCCAGTGGTTTCATGTTGCTATGCTGCCATCAAGTTGCTTTCTTTGTTGTTTTTTTTTTTCTTTTTTTGGTTTTGTTTCCAGTCTTTAACATCTACTGTCCCTTCCACAACACAACAAGACATTGCAGAAAACCTATAACCGTGTCAGAACCTGCAATCCCTCCAGAAGGTTTCTCTTCCCTCAATTCCCACAGCCTGCTTTTCCAGTTGTGGGCAGGGATTGTTTCCAGGAAAAGCTGAACACAGCACAGGATATATTTTTGCTTTTGACCATTATTTCTGGAACCAGTCTAACAGCAGCAGCAGAACACTCACATCTAAGCAGGGAGAAATCTCAAAGCACCTGCTCATTTGGAACAGCCTTAAGGACCAAGACTCCCACATCATGAGAAAGGAGAAAGCAGCAGGTCCCATTGCAATTCTGGGTGTTGCTGTGGGAAAGGAAGCCAGGAGGAGAGGAGCTCTCTTGTGATGAGTTGATTCTGGCTCTCAGCATCTGCAGCATGAGCTGGAACAAGGGAGGCTCCCAAGCAATGAATCTTCTGCAGCTGCCAACGGTGAGCAAAGAAGCTTGGAATGAGTGACCTCCCTATACAATGAGGTAACAACCACCTTGTAATGAGGAAGGGCAGGAGGTGGCTTCTAGAATGAGACAGAACCTACTGAGAGGATATTACAACCCAGGACATTTTCCTGCCAGAAGCCAGCAGAGAGGAGTTCTCATTAAATCATTAAAGCAGGGCACATTGCCAAACTGCCCACAGCCCTTTCAGAAAGCAAGGCCCCACCTTGCAGGCTATCCCAGAAAGATGCCTTCTCCAAGAGAGGTGGCTCCATCCTTTCCACCCAGCCCTGTTTGTGAGCACTGTACCTGCAGTGAAGATCTGTGCAGCCACTGCCAGGAAGGCGTCTGACACCACAGTCTCTGAGTGCAGCGAGATGTTCAGCTGGCGGGCGATATTCCGGTAGACATTGGGGCGAATGTACTCCAGCTCATCCCCTGCAAATAAACAGCCAAGAGTCAGCATGCACAGCTCCAAGCCCTGCTCTCATCATGGAGGAATTACAGCTGGGGTTACTCCAGGGATGAACCCCAGCTCCACCTGAGTTTAGGCAGGCAGCAGAGTGCTTAGGGCTGCTTAGATGCAGTTCCCTACCACCTGTACCCTGGGACTCCCAAAGGGAGCAGAGGCAGGCAGCGGTCCTGTACCAGTGGTTTGGCTGCAGTAATCCCTGACATAAATGCTGTTCCCAGGCTTGCTGCCTGCCTTCCCTCCAACACAGGAGACAGGCCTCAGATAAGCAAAGCCTTGTCATTTTGTTTCACAAGTGAGAAGGAGGCATGTACATCCATGTAAGCTTTTGAGAGATACGCCCTTCCTCAGCACCCCATCAGGCTTGTACAAAAATGCCTAAAGTGCAAGAGAGCAACTCAAGAATGCTGAAGGCTGATGAAAGCCAAGGATCCACCCAGAGCTGCACAACATTAATTAAACAAAGAGACTCTCAGCTATTTTATGCTCAGACAGGCACTTGAGAGTCAATCTGGAGTTCTTTCTCTCCTCCAAATGGTTAAAGAGATGTTCATTTGCATGGCTGACTGCTCAGAAGCAAGGTATCTGACACACACAGACATGTGCTTTCACCTCCAGAGTGCTTTCTGCCCAGCTGGGAAATAGCAGGAGGTGTTAGAAGACCAAGAAGACCAAGACAAAAATACCAAGGACAAGCAGAGAACCTCCTCCTAAATGACTGGGCTATGGAGCTTGGGAAACAACAGCAAAGCTTTTCCTTTGTAGCAAAACAAACCATTTTTTGAGTAGTAGAATTAACAAAGCCATATTAATAAAGCTTCCAAGGGATTTCTCTCTGTAGATGTTCATAGATATTAAATGAAGGTTGCACAGCTGCTATAGGAACATGACACAATGCAAACACTGCATGGCACCAAGGCCCTTAGTGCATGGCTTAGATTTAGGACACACTGTGCTCTTCTCCTGCACAAGGGTGTTCTGGAAAGAGTTATTCCAAGAGCTTTATATCCCACTGCAAGACCCAGGTGACTTGGCCCAGCCAGAGGGCAACTGATCTTCCTCAAAATTTCATTTTTATGAGAGGTAAAAAGGAAGATGTCACTGCAATCAGGATCTTGTTATAGAGCCATTAGATACTGATCCTTAATTCATTTATCTGACACTCAGCACAGGCAAAACCCAGCTCTACAGAATTCCACAGCTGAGCTCTCCCAGTCCTTTCTGATTGTGGGATTGTCCCTGTTTGACAGCAAGAGGAAATCTGCCAACACATGGTCAGCCCTGATAAGAGGAAACCTTCCTTGGACTACTCAACAGCCGTTCTCTCCTCACAGGCAGCACACAGACTTCCTGGTAAATGTAAGGAAATGGGGATAGCCCTGGTTAGCTGAGAGGGAGGCACAGGAGGCTGGGATCAGCACTTGGTAGCCTGCCACTGCTACAGCTTCTAACAAGCAGTGCCTGGAGGCCCCAGATGAGATCAGAGTTTGGTTGGAGGCGCATATGCCCTGTTCTGCAGCAAGACACAGGGCAGGCAGGAGCATCCAGGGAAGGAAAACACAGGAAAGCATTCCCATGCTTGGAGAGCCTCCCAGCCCAGCAACCCCATTGGTGCTGGTCTCCAGTGTCCTTGTTCTGATGCCCAACTTTGCAACATTTAGAGGAATTTGCGGGCTTCTCCTCCTTCCTCCAGTGATTATGTAGGAATTAACAGGGCAGCAGTGACAGTTTCCATGTGCAGGAGCTCATTGCAGTGGTCAAAGGGCACCTCCCTGGGCCTTGGACAGAGGAAATACAAGTTCAGATAAACCAGGCCTGTGAAGACACAGCAGGTTGGTCTGGGGAGCCTCACTGGGCTATACCATTAGGTTTTACCATGTCTGACTCATTAAATGCCCTAATTAGCTGCTAATCCTTACTGAGCTGATGGAGTCTCCCTCCCTTATGATCTCCAACAGCATTGCCTGTGCCCAGGACTTCTGCTGGCCCACCAGGCAGTTCATCAGAATCTCTGTGTGCAAGTGGGCTAAGAAACACTCCAACTTCCCATCTCCACAGGCTTCTCAGCATTCATGAAGGAAAAAACTGGTCTTGCTTGTTGCACTGCTTAGGAAGTGGCTAAGGATTACCATTCCTGGCAGGTGGCTGGATGGCAGCTGGCCTTATGCTAGTTAGAGCAGCAAAGAGGAAAAGAAAGGGATGGGCCATGTGACAAGTGGGGTTTCTAAAGAAATAGGACAGAAACTGTTCTTCGTCTTAATGAGGAGGACTGCTCACCTTTCTGGTTGCATGGGTACCACATGGTGCTCTCCAGATTTGCTCAGAGAAGGCACCAAGTTCCTGGGACTTTCAGCCAAATCTTTCCATCTGGACAATTCAGGAGACGCCTTCAGATCCAGTGCGCCACCTGCTTGCCCTTTAACATGTTCCTGGCCACCCACAGAAAATTGGGTTGAAAAGACAAAAATCTCAACCCCCAGCGCAGGCGGAGAAGAAAGGAAGTACAAATAGACAGTGAGATTGACAGAAGAACAAAAAAAAAAAATCCCCCAAAGACCAAACAACCACTGGAAACAAAAGCAGAAGTAAAATCAGCATAGAAAAGTGATAAAGAATTATTATTTTTTAAAAAATCAGTTAAAAGAAACACAGCTATGCCTTAAAAAGAAACTTGGGATAATATCAAACTGGTATACAGGGGTGAAAGTGGGGACACCAGCCCTGGTCCTGACTTTGTTAGGCCCAGCTAATGCTTACTTCACCAGACCTGTTTGAACTCTGATGTAATTAAATCAGATGCAAATGCTGGTGGTAGTTTCCAACCAGATGTAAACGAATATACCACCCTGCAGGCAAAGAGGGATGTTGGAAGCAACTTCCAAGAATAAAGTTGTTGGGTTCCCAAATGACAAACAGCTAGACTTGAGCACACAGGATGCTACACAACCCAAACCAAAACATTTAGAGGGTGCTCCTGGTACAAGCTCTAAAGAATCTTCATGTCACAGCCTCCAGGCAGGACCTTCAAACTGCTCTCCCTGAAGCCCCCATAGTTGCTGTGCTGTGGGTGGCACCAACTGGCAGTGTATGCCACACAACATCAACCAACTCCTTCTTGCTCCAGCAAAAAGCAAGAAAACTCAGGTCTTGCTGAATGACTAAGGTAGACAAAGGAAAATTAAACATACTGTCATTAAAAAGCAGTTTTTATAAAATCTCCAGCAACACATTTTCTAAGCAGCTACTCCAAGTTAAAGCTGGGTGAGCTACTGCTGAAGCCCAAGTCCAGTGGTAGCACTGCCCTAGAAGATGCCAGATGCATTGTGGCAATCAAGTTACTCACTCAGGAGAAAACACTGCAAGACTGGTTAAAATGCCCAGCTGAGAAAGACTGCTCTAAGAACTGTGAGAATTGTTACACAGCTGGAGACCTGTGCACACAGGATCAGTTACTGCAGGGCTTTCTTAGAGTGCTTTGTGATTTTGAGCTGCTGCAAGTCCTCAATAAAAAGCAACTTTACAGAAACCCTGTGCTGAGCAGTACTCCAAGAGACTGAGGAAACTCAAGCAAAGGAGGAGTTTAGGGAAGATCACGAAAACCAAAACTAAATGCCAAAAGCAAAGAAAAACCACTGTATTATCACATGAAAAGCCTCTTCCAGAAGCCTTAGTGTGGTCTGAACCGCTCCACGCAATGTGAGCACCCCCCATCCCAGCAGGACTCACCAAGTCGTAGCAGTATGGTGGACACCTCGGCCAGCTTACCCCCAGGCACTGGGGCATTGTACTCGGGTTTGCTCCAGCTGACACCCGCCTGAATCAGCCTCGAGTTTATGTAGTCTCTGCAGAGAGCCTTGGCTTGGGACACAAGCTCTTTGTCAGTGGGAGACCTGTCAAAAACCTCCATCACCTCTGCAGCAAAGACTGAGGAACGACGCAGCACCTCCATCTTCAGCTGCTGAACCCACAGCTCTGCATGTGCTGACTGCAGGGCTGAGCCAAAGTCTTCGATGAGAATCTGCAGGAGTTGCCTAGTAATCCTCTGCCCTCGGGGTCTGTCACAGCTCCCAGCAGCTCTTCTCCACAGCCCAGTTTTTCGTTTTAGCTGGTAAATAAAAGCATCTATAAGTCCCCTAGCATTGCAAAGACATAAATCAGAAGCTCAAAAATACAGTTATGCTGAAGTCAGTCGTATCACATTTGCAAAATATTTGTCTCGATCCATCTTACAGACAGGGGGCAAAGTCTCACATCTTTCAGCCACTGACTATCCCTGGCAGCATGGTCCACAGAAGGGCTGCTGTTTGGAACTCTCAAGGTGTTCCCTCTTTTCCCATTCAGATGTGGCAGCTCTAAAATTACCCATCAGAGACACTAGACAGCCAGAACATGGAAACACTTCATAGAATGTGCAGACGATCTCAGCTTGTTTCAATTAAACTGGAAAAAAAAAAAAAGAAGAACCCCAAATACAAGTATACAAGTTACAGTAACCTCAACCAGATGTCAACAGACATTCCAGCTCAGCTTCATCTTTCTGAAGAAATGACACTATGATAAGAACAAGGGTATGGGAGCATTTGAAATATCTTGATGGTGACGGTTTTCTGAGACATATTCTCAGGTTTTGGTTGTGACACGCTTTTTCCCCAAAGCAATGTGCATATTACCACTTGAAAACATCTAGCAATAGCAGAGAAAGCAAAATAGAAAAGTAGATTTTTGGAAAAGTTAGAGTTGTGAATGCCTAAAGGGAAATGTCAGAATTTCTTCAGAGGCACCTGAATTCATCTGCTGATTTGAGTTCTTAACCCAGTGCTGGCTTTGAAGTCAGACCAGTCTATTCAGATGTTAATAAATGCATTTTTCAGCCTGCAGTTTCAGACACCTTACACCGACGATTTTCAAACAAAATACAGCCAGTTATTTCAGTTTGCCCAAGGAAAAATATATTTACCTCTCATGTTGCACTTTTTCCCCCTCAGTGATTTCTTTTTGGGTTTGGTTTCATGTTTCTTTAGAAGATCTGCATCACTGGACACATGGTTTAGGATTCATAGGTAACAGTCACACTTCTCTGGAGAGCACCAGCCTCCTCTGCTGTGCTTCCTTCCCCGTCTCTGTCAGCCTCACACGCCGGCTGCGCTCCACCGGGATCCTTGGGGTTTGCTCTCCTGCTTTTAAGGGACCCAGGCGCAGAGGAAAGCTTCTGGCTTTAGCCTTGTAAGGAAGATGAAATAACCGGGAGGTGGGGTTGCTATACCCAAAGAGAGACGCTTTCTCCTCCCCTTTCTTCTCTCTTAAGGAGGCTCTCTGCTGTTCTTCGCTGGATTTCGCTCAAGGACTCCATGGTGAGGGCGGGAGCATCATTTCGGGACCAGGGTACCACACGTGCAGTGATGAATGCTCTGCTGAAACAGGAATAATTCCTGCTGGATTTCCAGAGCGGCTTTTGCAGAGTTGATGTTGGCTTTTCATTTTCATACTGTAGCCAAGTAGGGGAATTATACACTGTCATATTCAGCCATGGGTTAATCCCACCAATTCAATCACCTCCATCATGTCCCTGCCCATGCAGGGGGTTGGAAATAGATGATCTGCAAGGTCCCTTTCAACCCAAACCAATCTGTAATTCTGTGATGATTTTATGACTAACATGGAGAGCCACAGCTCAGGGCTAAGGCAGTGCTTGCAACTCTCCCCGAACTACGAGTAATCTGGTTAAAAAAAAATGAAGTGGCTTTGTTGATAGGAAATAGTTTATCCAGAGTGAAGTGTATTGCAGGAACTTGCCCACTTTATCTCAATGTATTATGAAAAACATTTCAATGAGTTCAAATATATTTATAAATTAATTTCAACATCAACTTCTTGTTGCAACATTATCATACTGATGCCACAATGTTCAGCTTTCTTCCATGTGCATTATTATACCATTTCATCTCAATAAACCACATACTAATGTTAGCTTTCTGTGTTAAGATTTGAAACAAAAGAAGTTTTAATAATAGAAGTTTCCTGCAGCCAAGAAATTCTATCAGACCAAACAAAAATTCTCCCCAATAGTAGTTTGTATATTAGCAGCTGGGTATTTGGTACGTTTGAGACACAATCTTTCTGAAAGGAGGTCAGTTGTCATCTTGTTGCCTTCAAGAAAAGACAAACAAGTACACCTCTCCAAGGCATTGAGCACATAAATCCCTCCAGTACAACATGTACCAATGCTGGTCTCCAAATCGAGGGATAAAAAGGAATAAATGAACAGCATGAAAAAAACTCTTATTATGTGACAGATTGAACATCCTGGCCAGCATCCAGCACACAGCTCAAGCACAGATTAACACAAAGCATGTTGGCTGCCATTAACTGGATTGCTGGAGCCTGCTTTGATGTCTTGGAAAAGGGCTGAAGTACCTCATATCCTTCAGCAACAGATCTTTTTTTTTCTGAGCTGGCTTTTTCAGGGAAAGGACTAGGGTTAAGGAGAGATAAATGCATGCAGTGATATCAGCTGGGGACCTCAGCTCAGTGTAATCAGGGTAAGATGGCAATAGTGACTGTGCATCCCCAGCACCAGATGTGTTTGCTCCAGAATTCTGTCAGAAATTTCTTTTTATCCACTAGCCTTACTAAAATTTAAATATAGACAAAGGTCTGTCCCACAGAAGCTGTAATCAAGACTCCAGAGATTCTGTGCTACTGCCTACCCTTAATCCACCTATTCCCTGCAGAGTGCACCTGATAGTGTCTTGGAAAATCATATTTTTACCTTTGCCACCTTGATGGCTGAAAAAGCATCAAAAATTATGCCTTAGCTTCCTACAGCAGCTGACAGCTTGACACAGAGGCCCTATCTAAACTATTCCTATTCTGTAGGGCTATGAAATGAAGAGGAATGCTTAAATATCGGTATTGCTTAAATAATGATATTTTTTCCCAGAAATCTGGCAAATATGCAAGTGCCACAGTACTTCCCAGCTCCCCATGAGTGCCAATCTCATCCCACATGTGTTCCCTGCCCAACTGTCACAGCATGCAGCACCCCCTCAACTTCCACCCTGCAGCAAAGACACAAAAACTAGAAGCATGAGGGGGTTGTGCATAAAAAACTAACCTTTGTATTACAAAACCCCCACACAATAGTGCGTGGTATTCTACTTATATTATTTACATATTAGTACTAAAAATGCAGTTTCACACTGATTGATGCCTCTAGAAGTAAAAGCAGATGAAACCACAGCATACAGTGCTCAGGTGACCAGAAAAGAAGATGGTGTTACAATCCAAGATGCTGTCAGTGTAATCAGAACCCTTTTTTCCACAGAATGTTTAAGCTTAGGGACTTGATCTGTAATGGGAAAACCCCTGTGCCAATGACAGTGCAAAATCAGTTTTTATCACCCCAAAACAGTTTCAAGTTCCTGGCATGACAGTGTTCTGGCTGGAACAGGCTCCATACCACAGCTCCTGTCTCAGGTGGGGTGACCAAAACAGCTTGGAGAACTCTTCTAGCAAAACCAGGAGATCACAAAGATATATTTTATATGCATGCCAAGTAGGAACAAACCTTGGAGAAGCCACATCAGCAAGAACAAGAGATAGTTTAATTGTGAACAGGTTCTGTTCAATATTAAACAGTTTGACTGCTAAAGGAAGTCTCTGGGAAGGCCTTTCAGCAGCTATAGTTGAAGCAAAATAGCCAGTGAATTGTGAGCACACTGCAGAGGGTCTGCATGACACAGATGCCTGCAAGAGCATGAGAACAGACCCAAAGGCCAAGGAGGTCATTCAACATTATGATCCCACAGACTGGTTCTGACAGGAGGTATGCTTGTGTCTCACCTTGCAGAGCCTATCCCAGCCACTTCACACAGCTTACAATTCCAGCAGAAACTATACACAGAGATCCCACGTTATAAGAACAAGAACTTTGAGAAGCAGACAGCTGCCAAAGACATCCAGTTAATCTTCAGAGAGTCTGGGAACCAACCCTGCCAGCCTCCTCTAAGAAGTGTCCCTTCAGAGAAAAGATGTTCTGGCAAAACTCTGTAGCCAGACCAACTCCTTCTACCAAACCAAGCCTGAACCACCTTCTGCATTGTATCTCTCACTTTTAATGTACAATCTTATTTGATTTTTGCAGCAATACTTCAAGTCTGTGTTTGTGAAGTTATCACTTACCTCTGCAAACATACTTACAATGCTGGGCTTTGTGCTGCAAAGCTGTATAGGAGGGCAGGAAGGTTGGACAAAACATTTCTTTTTACATAGAAATATTTTGCCAGCTGCAATAGGAAAACAATACATGGAAGCAGCTCAATTAGGCCCAAGTAAAACACAGAGGCTTTGTGAACCTTTTTCTTGTTTCTGAAGGCCTTGATTCAAAGCCTTCTCAAAGCCATGCAGTAAATTCAATGCTTTATGGGATCACCTTGGAGTATCACATATCAGACCAAAGAGGCTGTGTCACAGTTAACTTATTTTCCACAGCCTTTAGACAATTCTCCTTCACAAGGATAGAGGTCTAGTGACTTAAATGAATCAAGTTTAACAACCAATCCATTACTTTGGTTTCTGATGTAGACTAGCACTGATACCCAATGGTTTCAGCTCTTAACCCACTGCCATGCCCACTGTCACTGTAGACACAACTTTCCTGTTATCCATACATTTTTAGAGATATGGTGCAATCAAGAACTGGTGTACAAACTGGGTTAAGGGGAAACTGTAGCAGAAATTTAATGCTAGCTTCAGAGTTGAATCATAGAATACCTATATTCCTGAATCTTATTCTGCTAATGCTGTTTGAGAAGAGTTTAACCAACTGCTGCTGCTCAGATAGAAGTCAATCAGCTGCTCACTGAAAGACAGCAGCTTCTAGCTACATCTAGGACTTTGATGAGGCTACATCATCTGCTTCAGAACCTACTTCAGTAAATATAACTGCTTTGTTTGTCTCCTATCTCCTAATTTGCTTCCAAGTGACACATTTTACTGAGTGGATCAATTATCTTACAGCCAAGAAGGCAGCAGACACAAAGAAATAAAAAGTTTTAGGTTATTCAAGAGCTATAGCTTTGTTTTGAAACCCAAATATTTACCACC